CAGAAAGTAAGGCAGCATTTGTTGCATTAACAGCATGCACTTTTAAACGGCACTTTACAAAAGCACCCGGAATGCTGAAGAATCATAAAAACGTCTCATTAACAAAAGGCAGGCAGTGCAAGAAAACAAAAAAAGGTCTAACCTCAGCAGAACCATAGACAGACAACACGCAAGCAAAGGAGACGCAACCATAGGGATTTAAGAACCAGAGGCCGTGCTGCGGGACAAGCGTTTTAGGCCCTTTTTGAGGACAAAGAGATGAAATGAGACAATTTCCAGGGGAAGCAGGTTTCCAGTGTCTGGAGTTAACCCGCACAGATCAAACCCTGGTTGGCCTACTAGGACACGCTCAAAATCAGATGGCTCTGGGTCCTAATTCTGCTCCCTACTCGTGTAGCGATTGGACCTGGGAGGAAAATCAAGGGGGGGAAAAAAAAAAAAACCACCCAGCATATGTTCACAGCAGAAAGCCTGCTCTCCATACACTTGGTTTGGATACGGAATACGTGTGTATTCCGTGCCCGGCACTGCAGGGACAAGGAAAGACCCGGCATGTCAACAAGCGGAGCTGCGCCTTGCTGAGCCAACCAGCTCTTGCTGGCTCAGAGGAACAGCAGAACAACAGAGAGAGAGGTCGGAGCGGCGACCTACCAAAAAAGCAACAGTATTTACCCTCCAAAAAAGCTCCAGAGACAGCGCGCAGGGAACCGGCCTCGCCGCTAGATACAGGGGCACAGAGCTCACAGGAGAGCGCACACAGAAATTGGAGGCGGCCATCCCAGCTAAAAATGCGCCGCAAGAACTCAGTACCTAAGAAAAAAGCAGCAGCGGCTTCGGTTAGGGTCAGACCAAGATTAAAAAGTTCTTTTTCTGCAACCTGTCGCCCAGCGAGCTCATTTTCCGTGATTTCCCAGGCTCTGTGCTCTTTGCTGAGCCTCCTGTACAGCCCCAGCAGCGTGCTGCCTTCACGGGCAAAATGCGCGGGGCCGTTCCCCCGCAGGTACTTTGGCACTGCTGCTGACCTAGACGCCGTTTCAGCGCGCGAGACCTTGACGGCACGTTACCGCGTGACGATTTGCTCAGGGAGATCAGCCGCTTGACACACCATGTCATCGACCTGGGAAGCGCAGGAGCAGCCAGCGATTTGCCGCTCAGGGGAGTACGAAACGGGCACATTCACGAGGCAAGGTCCGTTCCTCTTCGGGAAACTCCCCTTGGGGGAATAAAATAATGTGTTCCAGAGACGGCACTGGAACGACACCGCTGAACCGGGCCTCCGCAGCCTAAAGCCTGGATCCCACGAACGGAGGCGAACTAGATTTAGAGAACCCACTCAGCAGCAGAGCTTAATCTTCAATTTATTGTGCAACAAGCATAACTCTCTCCCCAAGTTCCTCTAAACACAATGACAGACATGACATCGAACCACGTTTCCATAAACACGAGGGTGGTTGTTCAAACATCGATGTCTCCTATCCTCCCCGACCAAAGGATATTACTTCACTGTTAAACAGAAAAAAACAGGTAGGTAAAACGGAAGAGCATCACATGAACGTCTTTAGGCAGGCACTGCTGCTCAGCCCTATTTCGGTTGCGGTATTACCCCTAACTGGACGCAGTTTGACTCGGCCTCGGACTCTGCGGCAGCGCTCACTGCACAAATACAAGAAAGAAATAAGCAGGTTTGGGGTTCGTTGTACTTGCGCCATTTTGCGTGCAACTAGCTAGATACGTAGCGGTGTGGTATTGTAAGAAGCGAGCAGCTCCTGACGCTCACCAGTCGGCACCGCACTAGGAGGCTTTGAGGCTGTTATTTTATAGCAAAATACGTCTGTGGCTGCAGAGGAATATCATCTTAAGACCACCGCCGGTTTCCCAAAGAAAAGAAAGATTGCACATCCCTTTGTCAGCTCAGCTTTCTCGGCGTATTCTTGTTTAAATCCGTGATGCTTCCGTGTAAAGAGCAGCTAGACAGTGCCTCCTCCCACACACTCCCGCTTCTGCAAGGGAACTTGCTTCACTCAGCGCACAACTTAGAAGTCAATTACAAATTCCCAAACGTGAGCAAAACCAACCACGTACCTCAGCACACCCGCAAGGTCCGCAAACCCTCACCGAGAGACTAACGAAGCAAGGGCATTTCCTCTAGCAGCCAAAGAAAAGCAGCGTGCGCTAACACTTCCTAGAGAGAAACTCAACCTCTTCGACACAGGCCTGCAGTTTTGTTCCCTAAAGCGCTACAGGATTCCCGGCAGACAGAAAAGATTCCTATGTGCCTTTCGAAAGTGCCATTTATCTATCGCACGGTCGCGTCCCAGATGGTAGCCTTCACCCAGACCGGCTTCTCCAGGCCAGCAGCAGGAGCATTGCTGCCCAGAGGTCTTCATACTCGAGGTTCGCCAAAAAGCACATCTTCATTTTGGTTTCTACCCGGCTTTTATCCACCAGCCCGTCCATGAGCAAAGCGGCCGCAGCCTGGCAGAGAAGCCAGGTGATCATCTGGTCGGGTTTCAGGGTCTTGGACGCTAGAACGCTTTCACCCCAGAGGCTCAGGTGAAGCACGTTAGCAGCAACTCTAGCAGACAATCTCTGCAAAAGGAAGGAGAGGGAAGATGAGCTGACCCTGCCGCAATCCTGTCACATCGCTAGCATGTAGCATCTACGCTGCCCAAAGTCCCCCAGGCCTCCTCTAAGGCACCAGGCGGTCCCTGTGAATTAAAAAGCCCTTTGTGACTATTTATTATCAGGCAACTGCACGCAACCCCCCCGATTCAAGGGCCAGTCCCTGACACAAGCGTCCGCTGAAATCCCTGAAACTATTTGGTGCCGCATGTGAGAGGCCGCGCTGTACTTCAGCAAAGCCCTTTTGCTTGCCTTCGATCATTACCTAGGCTGGAACGATATCTGGATTGCAGTCATAGAATCATAGAATCGTTTAGGTTGGAAAAGACCTTTAAGATCATCCAGTCCAACCATTAACCTACACTACCAAGTCTACTCTAAGCCAATCAAGGGTAGGCTAGACTAAACCAGGCCCCCAAGGGCCCCCTCTGCCCATTTTTTGAACCCCTCCAGGGATGGGGACTCCACCACCTCTCTGGGCAGCCTGTTCCAATGCTTGACCACCCTTTCCGTAAAGAAATTTTTCCTAATTTCCAACCTAAACCTCCCCTGGCGCAGCTTGAGCCCATTTCCTCTTGTCCTATCGCTAACTACTTGGGAGAAGAGCCCAACACCCCCCTCACTACAACCTCCTTTCAGGCAGTTGTAGGGAGCGATCAGGTCTCCCCTCAGCCTCCTCTTCTCCAGGCTGAACACCCCCAGCTCCCTCAGCCGCTCCCCACCAGCCCTGTGCTCCAGACCCTGCCCCAGCTCCGCTGCCCTTCTCTGGACACGCTCCAGCACCCCAATGTCCTTCTTGTACTGAGGGGCCCAAAACGGGACAAAACATTACAGGTGCAGCCTCACCAGCGCCGAGTACAGGGGGACAATCACCTCCCTGCTCCTGCTGGCCACGCTATTCCTGATACACAGTCCTGCACGCGGAGCCCTCCGGGGAGAAACGGTCTACAAACGATACCCCGAGGGCTGCTCAGACGACTTCTTCAAGGCACCGCTTCCTTACCTTGTCGGGATCCCGCTGAAGTAGCATCTTTACCACTTGCTTCACCTCAAGGGGCACGCGATCGGGCAGGCTTGGCAGCTGGTCTTCACGGTAACTTCTGCTTTCCAGCGTCGAGTCCCCATGGCCGTAGAAAGGATTGGCCAGGCCAAGGATTTCATAGGCGATCGCTCCAACAGCCCAAGCGTCGGCTTTACTGTAGTTGATCACCGTGCCTGGACCAGGCGACGCTGTGATCACCTGCCAGAGAGACGGGGATGTTCAAATAAACAGCTCTAGCGTGGGCTTTGTGCTAAAACTAAATTTCAAGAGTTGAGTCGGCATTTCCACTGTAATAAACTGAGAGAGACTGACACCAAAGCTAGGTTTCACCTAAATCTCTGGTGTAAAACTTCCCTTTTGGCGTGCTCTAGGCACGGCTCAGCGCACCAGGACACCGGGATGAGCCTGGGCACTGTGCCTAGGCTTTCACCGTTGCCCCTGCGCGGCGTTCGCGGAGCCCTGAGGGCCGTTTCACTCTGGGATTTTAGGTAGACGGGGCATGCAGACGAGCAAGTCTTAAGCAGTGCAAGGAAAAGTGCTCCAGGCCAAGTGGACAGTTAAGGGTGTCTTCGCTTTTATTACGGTTATCATCGGAGAAATAAAAAAACAGGAACTGTAAATAATTTCCCCACCACCTTGAACTTCATCCAAAAACTACTGTCGCAACACAAGGACTGCTGCATAAGCTTCTTTAATAGCTACCTAGAAAGGGGCCCGAGAAAAGACCGAAGAGCAGACTTTCTGTGGGAAATTCTGCCTCGTAACACTGACTGATTACGTTCCACCTTTCAGTGCTCAAGGTGTCTGTTTGACAACTGCTCCGCACAGGTCTGAAGAGGACTTTTTTTGTTAACACAGAGAGGTTTAGCAAGCATAACTCAAGTCAGAACGTGGACCTCCTACGCCGCTTTATGGGACATGGCTCTCGGTGACGGAGCATAGGGTGAGATTAGTTACGCAGTAACCAGCTACAGGTTACCGCCTTGCATGACTGAGTTATGTCAGTAAGCATGAACGGGTAGGAAACGAGCGGTCGGATCGCGGAGGCTTTCAGCAGGGATTACTGCGAACACACGCCAGCAGAGAATGCATAAGCAAGCATCGGCCTGAGCACGTGGGGGAAGGCTCAGGGACAAATCGCGGCAAAGGGATGCACACGCATGCCCTCCGCTGCTTTTAGACCTAATCCCACCCTTTTTCAAGTTCCTGTCACAGCCCGCACCACAGCTGGGGCTGGAACTTTGAGCCCCGACAGCGGGACAAGCAGACAACCAGCAAGACAAACCGTTACCGCAGGGGGATTTACCTCGGGTGCCATAAGACAGCCGTTGCCACCCCGATCCACGTAAGAGCTGGTGAAAGGCAGTCTCAAGCCGACGTTTTCATCTGCCAAACAGCAACCGAAGTCGGTGATCACCAGCCAGGGGCAGCCGGCTGCAAACGACACGGGGCAAGCAGAGTTAGCGTTCCATTCGGGAGTACCTGGCTCTGTCAGA